TTTAAGATCTGGATACCTTCAAAGATGCCTTAAACAACAGCACATTCTGGCCTCACCTCAAAGCTCCTGAAATTCATACGCGTTAAGTCCAAACAAGCCGCTCTGAAAATCCAGACAGGTGCCCACAGGAGGGGGAAAAACGCCAGACTTTTCCCCTGCTCTGCTAGCTGGCTGGTAAGCATGTGGCCCAGCTCCCTGCCCACCAGCTCCTGCCACAGATGCGGGCAGAGGAGGTTTGAATCGATGTGGGCAGAGGAGGTTTGAATCCAGGCAGTTACTCTTCCTAATCCTGCTCCAGGGAGCTTCACCCACCAGACACCGATCCTGGGTGATGTGCTGTGGAAGCCCACCTCCGGGCTGCCCCTGGGAACCAGCTTCTGGCTGCACAGGGGTCCTTCAGCAAAGAGTGAGGGATGCAGAAAGTGTGAACAGAGGCAGCAGAGACGCTCTCTGCAGCTTCCACTACTCCCAGAAGATGTGCTCTTGGGAAGAAGGGGCACGGAAACTGAATTAGTAATTTTTAAAGTTGAGGGAAGAGGTGGAACAAGTCTTAAGAGAATGTGGGTAAGAAATCCACAGAACTGCTGATATGGATCCTTAGGTCAGTATAAACAGCAAAGGATCATGCAATAAGCCAGGAGTGAAATCGTGGCTTGAGCAATGATTTTGTGCCACCAATAAAATCCTGTGGGGAGTAGTCATTGAAAGGGTAGGCTTAGCCCAGGTTTTTCATACTAAGGAGCACAGGCAGCTAAAAAGCTGAGGGGAAGTGATTTATGAGGACAGAGCTAAATGCTTATTGCAAGGTTAAACAACAAGTAAGGGCAGACATAACAGCCTGCAAATACCCATAGGAGTAAACGTCAAGTAGAGTGAGGAATTTTGAAGGGCAAGATAAATTTCCTAAGACTGAGGCTCAGTGGCTTGTGATACACTTGCCCATACAGCTGAAGTTTTGTCAGTCATGACTAGCCTGGGCAAAGCAGGAGCAAAGGAAAGGCAAGAACAATTCTGTGCTGTGGACAGGTGAGAGAGATTATTCCAATCTCTCCTGTTCAGATGAGCTTCACCTCTCCATCACTGGGAGAAGCTAGCTGCAATGTCCACCAAGGTATAGAGGAGTTGGAGACAGCATTCTAGAGACATATTGAACCTGCTTTTCCCGTTAGGATTTTTGTGATAGCAGCTATTACTAACCTTATTTCATCAAGACTGTTTCAGGTTGATCGTATAAATGAAGAAGTCATACAGCTGCTGTTGCAAAGAAGTAAGCACACAAAATCACTCACAGCTAGAAAGACTATCCACCATGGCAGTTTCACTACAGTTAACATCAAATTTATCCTGTACAGAGGATGAGTGTTAAAACTGCACCCTATCTCATGCCCCTTAAGCCCGTGAAATAGCTCTTGAACAGACTTGAACTTTGTTCTGTGCTGAGCACCTGCATGAGAGGTGAGATCCAGCCCAAGGTCGTGTTTGAGGGAGGTAAAGATTTCAGCAGGAGGCCTGGGGGATGTGCTTGATGGGAAAAGAGCTGCTGGGGCTACACTGAGGAGGAATGCAAGGGGAAGGGAAGGAATGTAAGGTAAAAAGCAACCAAACAAAAAGGACCTTTGAATTTTGTTTCACAGCATGACCATGTCATCGCAACTGTGGCAGGGTCTGCAACAAGAGGTTACAACTAGCAAGGTAGAAAGGGGGAATGGGATTGTCTGTGAATCCCTCAGATTGCAAAATTATTGCCTAATTAAAGGAAAAATACAGGTAAAGCGAAGAAAAGAGCTCCTATATACTCTTGAATTGTGGTAGGGGAGAAGGGAAAGGAAAACTAAACCAAAGCAAATGCACAGCCACAGGAAACAAGTGTAACCTTAAGATACCTTCTATCTCCCTCTTTTCTGGCAGATGTCTCGTTCCCAGCCCCTGTGGATTGGTTTGGGCACTAAGGAAGATAAAGCAGTTTCCTTACTTCTTCCTGCCCTGACTGAGACACTGGATCACTAATGCAGAGCGTTGCTTAACTCAGGGGTGGCAGGAACCTAATTCTCACTTAGCCCTGATGCCTGAAAAACAATCCCAACGTTGGCATCCAGTGACAAGAAAGAGACTAACTGTTCTTAGCCCCTGCATGGGGAAGAATTCCCTGAAAACACCCCAAACGCTATATGCAAGACTTTACATTTTTATCAGAATGCAAAAGCGAAAAGTGGGGAAAAGAACTAAAATTAAAAAGAGGAGCCATACACGACTCCTGTGGTGAGGACGGCACTGAGAAAAACCCAGAAAAGCTTGGGAAGGATTTGTTTAGGTGGAGCATCATTAGGTGGGTCAGTTGATGGCTATGTGGTTTCAACACATTCACAAAACAAAACACATTGCTAAAGTGTCATAAAGAGAATAGATGGATTTCAGAACTACCTAAAAACAAACTGCAGTTTGTCTTCCATTTTAAGGCTAGGAAATTGCTGACCGTCCTAAAGGAAACTCCACTCAATGTCACGACAACGTTTCAAAGCATTTTGGAGATTTAGGAGCTGATTAAGGAGAAATTCAGGTACAAAAAAACAAAGAAGCTGAGGAACTCCTGTTGTGAAAGGTTTACAAGTGGCAGGAAAAAAGTATCAAGGAAGAAAGGCCTTGTAATTACATCCTTAACTTGAGATTCAGGTTCTTCTTCTCACCTTAGCTTAATGCCTAAAACACATTCACAAGGAGAGGTGCCTTATATATTTGTAAACACTATGTTGCTTAAAGGTACACGATCCAATACACAGTTTCATAACCTATGGCATGCTGGCAGGAGGCTACAGTGGGAACAGACTGACTGCAGTAGTGCCATTCCTGTGGTAAACATATCTAAGAAAATTCAGGTAGTGTCGTGGTATGCAAAATTGTGCCAGGGAGAGATTTTTGAGTCTACTGTGTTGAGGAAGGAAAGTGTTTTTCACCTTCTAGACTTGTTCAGGGATTTTTCTCCTCAAGTTTTCTTAGCAAAAATTTTAGAAAAATCTTGAGCAGGAGACTAAAACCTTTACCTGAACAGAGCCACTACAGACTGTAAACTTGTATTCTCCCAAAGAAGCATTTTCTGCCATACAATAGCTTCCAATGAGCGAAACACCTTCTGCTCTTTACTTTAGTTTCACTCGTTTTGTGGTGTGTCACAACACATCGCACTAAAAACTGAGGTGGGACACCAAAAGAAGAAAACAATCCTTACTGTGAATCTTTACTTTTGTCTGGAATCCTTTTCTGGATGTTTATGGCATCCCATAAAGTTGTTGAAACATGCCTGCTGTATTTTTAATTGTCATTTTAAATGCCAAAACCCAGAAGTCTTGCTTATATTGTATGCGAACACAGTGTCTGCTTATGTTCAAACCCTCAGGCACTTTAAATAACTCTGCTGTACACAGAGAACGTTGTTCATTTTGTTTTTACAATTTTTGCCTGTGTAGAAGGAGCTCTAATGTCTTGAGAACATAAATGTATGTTCATAACCGAGGAGCAAGATCACAGCTGGAATATACCTGAGCCTTGGATCATATTTCAGCAGTGGCATGAAGCGAAAAAGCAGCTTATTTCTCTCTTTAATTTACAAGAGCTACAACTGGAACAGCACATAGTAGACTTACTGACGTAACGCACAGGTGAGTGCGTGTTACAGGTCCACCTCTGTGCCTGATCCACAGGGAATTTCAGACTGTTTCAGCCAGACTTAAGAGCTGTTACCACTGTAGCCCAAGAGGAACCCGGTCCGAACTCTGGTGTGTTAGTAAAGGTGGCAGCTGCCATAACAGAATTCTGTGTAGGCTACAAACTTGGGGCATAAAATGGGGGTCTTTTTACTGATTGCAGTGAGTTTCGTACCAAGCCTCCGCTGTTCTGTCTTAAAGAACAAACCATTACAGAGAATTCATAAGCAAATTTGCTTTTTTCTGTCAAGGATTAAACAGCAGCAGATTGTCATTTCCTTTAAATGCATCTATTATTCATCACTATTCAATAAATTTTGTTAAGGGCTTAAAAACAACAGCATATATATCTTTATACTCAGTTCCAATCTGCTCCCTCCATGTGTTCTGAAACTCATATTTTATGTTTAGATGTGATTGACCATGGAAGTCACAGGGTAATGTGTGTTCCCTGAGTAAAGACATGCACAAGTATCTGGCCAACGTTCATTTTTCATGTTAGTTTGTTGTAAATAATCTTACATGCAATTTTGGCCGTTCCTTTCTGTAGGAATCTCTGCAAGTAGGTTAACATACCGTGGCTCACAGAAAGCTGACACACAGTATTTATGAACAGAAAGGAAGTAAATTAATTTCAGGGTTCGATCCAACATTGGAGAAAGGCTTTTTGCAGTATTTATTTACCCAGCAATAAGAAGGTACAGTCCCTCTCTAGTCCAGCCATATTACCAGACAAGGAAAATTCTGCTGAGTTAGGACTACAGACAAGGGGTTAAAGAACTAAATGTTTGGTTTCTCAGTGTGCATCCCATACAGCCAGCCCTGTAATAGCTGTCATTATTTGTAACATGCGCAGTAGAGAAATAGGTGGAGGAATGAAGCCATGCATGTAAGGTAACACCCTTTTTTTTAAGCAACCACCATTTTTTCAATGACATGTACAAGGGTCATTTGGGGTTTTCCTTCCCTTGAAGTCTGGGTTTCCTGAGAGGAAGGAGAGCTGAAATACAGGAACAAGAAGCTGCACACCATTTCCAGCAGTGCAGTAGACCTTCATTGACATGATTTAGGAACCACATCTGAATCTCCAAACTTCCTGATGTTCTCCCTTTGAAAGGAGGGAAGAGGGGGAAGGCCTTGCAAACACAGCCAAACTGCTCCCATGCCCTTAAATCTACCATTAAAAGTAGGTTGCAATACAAGTGGGAAATACAAGGAAATGTTTCAACTAATAAAATGCACTGGACTAGCACCAAAAACTTCTGCTTTAAAAGCTGTTTATAATAAACAACAATTACTTACAGTATCCTTGCAAGATCATGAGAGGACTCAAAGATCGAAGAGTATCTGGTTCATCTGGTTGAGACCTGGAAAACAGAGGGTCACGTATCAGCAAACAGCATCAGCAATCAACGTAATTTTTATGAGGGCTGTTGGAACAGGAGGAAATGTTCAAACCGAGACTGCTGGGCCACGCTGTGACCTAATCCTGGACAGAGAGAAGATCTGCCGTTCACTATATCACCATTCATAAAAGAGGAAAAATCTCAGCTCACTAGAAGAACATCAGTTTGTCTGGGTTGTACTGCAGATCTTTTAAGCCTCTGTAAGGGTTAATGGGACCCTAGAGATAATAAATACATTATGCAGCTGTGTAGGTGCTGGGAAGATGAATATAGGTTGATTTTTACAAACTTAACCTATGCAGAGTGAGTCATAATTTGAACCTTGCGTCATTCAATAAATGGGTCTTTTGAAAGTCAACCCACTGTGAATGGGCTGCTTGCTCTCAAAAAGCAAGAACCCTGCTCTCCTGCCCACAGGCTGCCTAGTTGTAGGATCAAAAAAGCTCTTCTCCCTAGGTTACAATGGGATGGCAATAATAGGAGCCAAACAAACAACTACATGCTTGTGGGTTTGCTGCATCTCTCTTAAAAGGTCAAAAGGTTTTGACTGAAACAACTGTTTTTATTTCATGAAAGATTTCATTCTTAATCACAAATGTGTGCTCATCTCATTGCTACTTCTGCTGTGCCTTGTAACATTGTTTCTTTATTCAATTATGCCTCACATCAACTTTTTAATTAATACCTTCATTAGGAAAACCTTGAAAGTTTAGATAAATAACATTTGCTTTTGTGCATTACAAATGTAAGCTCCTGTGTGAAGGAAATTTTTCTATTTTGTAGTCACCCAGGGGAAAGAAAAGCAAGTAGAGAGGAGGTCTACATGTTCACAGGGATCTCAGCACTGAGGAGACAGAATAATAATCTTTTGTTGAATACGAAAATAACGAAAAACAAAGTAAACAATAGTCTTTTGTTCTGAACAAGAAAGGCAGGGCTTTAATAGTCTTTAAACGAGATAGAAAATTTCCATCCAAATGGAACCATGGAGTAGGTAGACACATTACAACGTTTTGGAGTTCAGTGATTAAATTTAATACTGTGCCAAACAGTGATTAGTTGATGAAGGGCATTCATAAACAGAATGGAAACAAGGGAAGTGTGGCTCCAGTATAGCATTGGGCCTCCAGTGCAGTTTGGTGTTCAGCTTTCTACTTTAATAACAGGGTTGAATGAAAAAAAGTTTAATTTGATTTATTTCCCTAAGGAAACTCAGTGCAACTGTAAACACAGGCTGACTGGTACACATTGCTAAAACTTCAGCATTCAGGGTCAGATCCTAGAAAAGGGCTTGGGTACCAACTGAAGCACAGAAACGTATCCTTTTCTTCAGCATTTTTCCAGCTCACTAACTCAGTCCCCCTTGCTCAGAGTACTGGTACATGTGAATCCCATTACTACACACTGAATTCTCCCAACACACTGTGCAGGCAAAGTAGCATCCTAATTAATGCTTCTGAAGCCCAGACTCAGAGCGGAGTCCTTTATGGATCTTTGCCTTAGTGCATTAAAATTCCCTGTTGAGCCCAATGCAACATGTTGTTCTTAACACCATACATATGTGACTAATGATCCAGGAGACTAGGAGCATAAATCCTTTTTAACTTGTCTGTGGTCTCTCCTAAGCCTACCCAACCCAGGCAGCAAGCGTGTGGTGCACGGAGAAGTCAGCAGCAATACATGAGCCCTGTGCATATAGGTAGATCAGGTTGGCTTCAGTGACTAGTCAGTGCTTTTGCAGAGGACGAGATCGTCCCCTGGTTTTATCAAACAAAGATTACACCCTGAACTCTGAGCTTTGAAGGAAATAAAATTTTCACTTCAGTTTCTCCTAAATGAACTGCTCTGACCCATCCCAGTATCTTTAGTATCAGTATCTTTAGTCTCACATAAGACTCACGTAAGCCTCACAAAATACAAGCAAAATTACAATGAGATATATGTGCAGTAGAAGACGTGACAATTCTTTTCTTCCTTCTTTTCTAGCATCACCTACTCCTCCAGTCTAAGCAAAGGCCGTCATCATTTTAATTTGAAAAGAAGCCCTCATACTTTAAAATCTATTTTGGACCAGATCTGTTCTTAGTTGCATTAGTATAAATCTGCTGTCTTCTCATGGACTTTCTCCAACTATATTCTGGTGTAAGCAAGATCAGAATCTTATTTTGGTGACAAATGGCTGGGTTATGTTAAAGGTCAACACTGGTGCAGGCCACCGATTTTGGTGAAATCCCATCTATTTATGGGGAAAATAATTGACATTTAAAAATTATTATAATAGCCGCATGACTTTTTAAAAAAATTGTTAACTTGGAGATAATGTTTCAAGCACTTTGCTTAAAATTTTAAATTCATCCATTAATTAACAATAATGAATCACCAAGCATGTTATGGGTGCTAAGTTAGCTGCAGATTTCATAACAAGAAACTGAAACAAAAAAGTTGAGGGAAAACTGTCTTGGAGTCTCCAACACTTCAAATGAATGGTTTTGTAAAGCTCCTATCAGAACCCTCTGACACAGACAACTTCCCTGACTGCCGGAGGGCCTGGGAGCTGTTCTCATCAGTGGGAGAAACAAGTGATTTGTACCTTAGAAAAATTTCAGACTTATTTTATGTATGATTTGTATTGCAGGTGGTGGTAAGAGGTAAATCCTAAAGGCTTTCTCCACAATGATTAAATGCCAAGAAGTGGAGCAGTTAACTGAAACAGCAGCAGCTTCTAGTGTCTTCACAATGACAGTCTTAACTCAAAAGGAACAGTATTTTATATTCTGTGAAGCTGAGCTAGACCGTTTTGGCAAAGAGTCTGTCTGCCTACCAAGGGTGGGGTAGGTATTTACTATCTATATAATGACTTCCTACTGCAAATGGGTCAGGTAATTCAAATAACTAGCCAAAACTGCCTTTGGTCGAGTCTGGTGGAAGTCTAGCCTGTAAGTAAATACGTCCCTCTGCTACAGAGTGCACATCCTCCGTCATGTGATGTCTCAGCCATTTCCTGGTACCGCCACTCCAACAAATACTTCACTTTATCTCCCTCCGATTGTAACATCGGCAGTTTCACCACCGAAGTTGCTGTTGCTGCACTTTCTGGTGTCAATGGCCTGCTGTGAACTGAAAAAATACCTATTTAAAAAAACAGTCGAGCACTTGAATGATACCAGAGGCTCCTTCTTTCTCTGCCTTTGTTGTAGCACACCAGGCAATCATCCAGTTTGTCCGTTCTGCTTTTCCATCTCCAAACCAAATGTTTCAGAATCCAGCCTGCACAAATAATCAGGTTTTAAACAAAAACTGCAGCCGAAGATCAGCTTGCTGCACGTGATCAGTGTACTGCATGGCTTTCCCTCAACCTGAGCCTGGGTGCTTTGCATTCAAACACGTGGATTGTGTCCATTCTGGCATTTGGAGTGGGGTAAAAGGTATTGTGTGTGTGTGATGGGGTGGTAAATCCCAAACTCGGCAAGATTTCAGAGGTGCTGTCTTGCACAGTGGTTAAGAAATAACTCATTTCTGGTTGAAAAGTTAAAAGAAAGGTATGAAGTAACTTGAATGCTAAGAAATAACTACCAGCTCCTAGGCAGTTCCTGCAGGCGCTATGGATGGAGCAGGCTGCCCTGTCTGGTGGCAAATCTCAATTATGCACAAAGCAGCATCCCGCAACAGCCCCTGAGAGAGCTACTGGGAAAGGAGGCAGAGGTTACTGGGAAGATCTTGCAAGTATTCAGAAGGCAGCTGTTTGCCAAAAGCATAGTGGTATGGCTTTCTTCACCGTAAACATTTTGGGCCACGCTGTTCATACTGCGCCAGTTCACTGAATGTCTACCAATGAAAGTGAGAGGAAATTTTGACAAGCTCTGCAGAGAGTAACAAATCTTGCTAAGAAAGTCAAAGTTATTCCGGCAGACTACAGTTAGTTGAACCACAAAAAAAGAGGTCCTGAGGAGCAAGGAGACCCTACAGATACAAGTCAGCACGAAGTGTCCCCATGTTTCATAACTCAGTACTTTACTGGAAACCAAGTCAGCAAAACAAAATGATGTTCACAGATTCTAGTGGGCTCTGGATTAGACTGAGGTCTTCTGGGGAAGAGCTTCAGAGAGTAGCTCTTTTAAAACAAAATTTCTGAAAATTAACAAGTTATTTCATAGATGAACTATGTCATCATGAAAAGTTTTTGCTCATCTATCTTTCAAAACAAGCACACTTCTGTAAAGAACAAATGAATGTCAATATTATTCCTAAATGTATTTGAAAATTAATACTGTAACCACGTGTCACTTAAAAGCACTCTGTTTTGATCTTCACAAGGTTATCCCAGTTGCTTTGCCCCATAAAATTAACCACAAACACAATAGTGGATGAGTCAGAACACAAAGCTGACTCTAAGAGAAGGGATAAATGCCTCTGGAGAGCACAGCAAAGCAGGAGGCATGAACCAAAGTTAAGGGTGCAACAGTGTGCGCCAACAGTTGAACAAACAGCGACTGGGATAAAGGGAAAACGCTTTTCTGTAAAAATTCTCATTTATTTCAAGCTGCTCCACCTATCACCAAGGCAAACAACTCTGGCAGGGCCTGGAACACCTGACCTGATGGACCAAAGTCTGAAATGGAAAGACGTGAGCTACAAGATGCAAGCTCTGAGCAGGAAGGTGGCCGACGGGCTCTGGCACTTTTGCACAGCAGCTTTGGAAAGAGTTTCCAAGGGGCTTACACAAAAAGTCCTTTCACAAGGCCTCCATAAAATACACCTGAAGAAAGACCGTTAGGAGGAGACTTGGTTTAGCTCTGTTCTCTTCTGTTTAGCTCTGTTCTCTTCTGTTTAGCTCAGGTGTTGTTTTTTCACACACAGAAACACATGTACAGACTTAGTACACCATACAATGCCTCACTAAAGTCATCAAGTGGTGGTTATAACTTCATCCAAGATCAACAAGGTCTTTTTCCACAAGCAAT